AAAAAAAAAAAAAAAAAAAAGTACTTTCATTAGGAAAGCACTGCGTATTTGCACTGTAATGTGATTTGGGTTGTGTCATTTTCCTCATGAGGCAGAAAAATAACACCCTGCAAGTCCTAGTGTATGCTTAGAAAAAGATCTTCCCACCAGTTATCTGGAGGTGAGGACAGGAAGTGCAGCTCTGTTTGTTTATGGTGCAGAGAGCATTTAAGATGAGAGGATGAAAGTTGTGATTATCTGAATCCCATTTACATTTCTCATATTTTAAAATCCCAGTGGAAAGTACTCTGATTGTGTCCACCCTCTTCAGCCTCTTCCAGGAACTTGGCCACCAGCAGAGTCACTGAAAGAGGGCTCTTGTTCTTGCTGTGTAGCCAGTAAGTCAGCCAGCCTACCTTAAGGTAGTGCTTTCTTTTCTAGTAATTCCTCGCTAGTTATCTGGTGAAATGCATTTGAAAGCCAAAGGAAAGTGAGTTAGGAGAGAGGGATGGGGATGTTTTGTAATGCATCTCTCCCCTGAAAAATAAATATTACTATATACCTGAATCCTCTGTTTCTTTGGTCACCTCTTTGGATTAGTGCTCACAAATGTACTTTGGACTTTCACCTAAATTCTGTAATAATTCCAGACAAAGCCTTTATTGGGAACAGCTGGTATCTCTTTCTAATAATATTTTTTTTTGTTCTAGATTCAGATGAAACTTGGTTTTATAGCAAGGAAGCACTAAAGAACTGGCACAGGGGTTCTTGCTAAAAGCCAAAAGTTAAGGTAGGAAGGGGGAAAAAGAAAATCCTATGTGCTGATGCTGTGTAGGATCTGGAAAATATCTGCACTTTTTCTATCATTCAAAGAGAAAATTACCCATCTTTGAGGGGGGAGGAAATGTCTCCTTCCCTTCTCTGTCCCCCAGAGTGGATGTGACCAGGCAACCTACTACAGGGAACTACTTTTGTTGCACTTTCTCATCTTGCAATGGACAGCTCTCGTGGAGTGGGAAGCCCGGGGAGGGTCCGTTCCTGCCTCTCCCATTGTAGCACAGCTAAACTCTCCGCTCTCTCGACCAGCTCTGAAAAAGGATATATGGGTAGTTCAGCTGCTAGGTCACTTAACCCCCATTTTCCCAGTGGAGAAAGGGAAAGTGGGGAGCGAAGTGTTACTCACAAGCATCTTGAACAGTAATCCTGTTTTCAGATGACAAACCACGTGCAGGGACTGAGCTGTTTCCACAGTTGTTTATCAGAGGAAAGCAGATAACTTGTCGCTATCAGCATTAGGTGCTCCAAGAGCGTAGCTTAATGTGGTTTTTTTTTTACGTTTTGTTGGTGTTTGTACAAAACCTTGTATTGTCCTGCCCATTAATAACAAAAAAAAAAAAAAAAAGCCCTAATGGTACCCGCAGGATTGCTCTGTGAAGTCTGGCTGCTTCTGTGAGAAACAAAAAATGCCAAAAGGCAAACCTCAAAATTTCTAATTTGAAGTAATCGAGATTTCTCACAGAAGAAAGTTAGCCTGTTTGTCTTGCTCAAGATTTAAGTGAGAGGCACGTGTTTTTCTGGTGATACGTTGCAGCTACCTTTCATGTTGGTGAGCCTGCTGAAAATGCAGCTGCTGTGAGCTAGAAATTTGATACTTCAGAATCTCCGGTTTGCTTTGCTTCATGTAGGCCAGAGACCGGAGGACATTGTTTTGCAGCTTCCTGATGCAAAAGGTCAGTCTTGCTGTGAAGGTGGTTGGCACCATCACCAGACACAGCCAGAGGTTTCACAGTGTGCTTTTTCACAGGGAGGATTATTTGAGTGGGTTAACGGCAGCTGTCTTCCACAGCAGGACTGTGCTCCTCTTCTGCTGCTGTGAGGTACTTCCAGCTGCTGTCAAGTCCAGAACAAAAAGTTGAAATTTCGGTGATCCTCTTAGTTTCTCTCCCCTTTCCCTTCTCTTAGATCTCCTCCCACCAGGAGTCTGCAATCTCCTCAACCCGGCCGCTATCTACGCTAACAACGAGATCAGCCTGGGAGATGTTGAGATATATGGCTTTGACTACGATTACACATTAGCACAGTATTCTAATTTACTACACTCTATGATTTTCAACACTGCCAGAGACATCCTAATAGAACAATTCAAGGTAATTATGTGCTAAGAATTTCCACTCAGTTAAGCTTACTGCTGTCTTTGTGACACCCCAGTCGTGCTTGCAAAATGCCACATTGTGTGCATGTGCCAAATACTTGTTTTATTGAGATAAATTTCATGTTTCACAATCTTTGATTGCAGAAAGTTTTGACTGTATGTGGAATTAATTTCCTTTGAGGCAATTTACCATGCTGTACATTCCTGAGGTTTTATGAATGTGGAGCAGGAACGTTAATCTGGAAAGGCCTGGTCTGTTTTACCTAACTATGAAAATAAAGCCTACAGAATTGCTGGTTCGAGGTACACATGGTGGATAAACATGAACCATGGGCCAACACTGAAGCCTTGACACGTGCAAGTCAATGTGAATGATGCTGTATAGCATGTCCAGTAATGGACACCCTGTTTGCAATAGGTGACTAGTCTGTGCATTTTCTTCGTGTCATGCCTTTCTTTTTAGAGGGGCTCTGCAGTGCCATTGTTTTGCCAAATATATGCATCGAATGGAGCTTACTAGAAGTGTCCTCACTGCCTGAGGGCATCTGTTTGGTTTCAAGTAGTGTCCCTTACATGAAAGAAACTGATCTAGGCGATCCTGATCCTTTATGTCTTTCTCTATTCATCCACTTTTTTTGTTGAAGGGGCAAAATGAAGCACACCTGTTCCTTGGTCAGTTTATGCCTGGGGTGAGACAACTAACAGGACTAAGCCAGCTCAACAGGTGAAATAACTTTATTGATAGCCCAGTGCTTATGCCTCTAACCATGTGGTTGTCTGTCTTCCCAGTATCCAGAAGGGCTTGGGAAGTATGACTACATTCCAGGGTTTGCCATACGTGGACTTCACTATGATGTACAAAAGGTAAGCTGTACAAAGCTCACTCGCCTGGGCTTTGTCTTCCATTGCGTTATGGTTTTAGTGGAAATATTTTCTGTTATTGCTTACAGTAATATTGATTACCAAACTGTCAGTGAAATACATAGTCCAGGTGGCTGTGCTTTTCATCGTGTGGGTTCTTCTTGCTTATAAACCTTCCAAGGAAAAGATGGTTTTTGTGTTTGCATAGTCTTTAGCGGCATGGGACATTCTAGCAAAGACCTCTGGTAAACAGCCTTACCAATTGAAAAGTCAGTTAATTCCACAAGCTAATTAATAGAAAATTCAGCTTGTTTGTGTGATCATTTCTGTCTTTCAGGAAATTTAAACAACTAACCTCAATCCTGCATCTACAAGTATTTGCCAGGAGCAGAGGCCTTATGTCTTACTCTAATAATAGAAATGACTTGTTAGGAGAATGCTTTAGGAAGCCTTCCCCACCCCCCACCCCGAATAATAGGACTGCTTGGAAAAAGACCCAAGCTACTTGAGATGCATGCTTTTTAGAGGCACAGACAAGCAAAGTGCAAGCATTAGCTTTAACCCTTTTCAGTACTGATGCCCAGTGATGTAATGCTGGCTGCTACAGCCAGGCAGTCAGGTGGGAACACAGCAGAGAAAGTTGCTTCACTGTAGTAGGTTTTGAGCTTTGAGCAAATTCAGGGAAGCAGGCAGTACAGGCTGCAGTGCGCCTGCTGTTCTCCAGCAGTAGGGGGAAAAAGAGAATGAAGAAAAAACTATATTGAGTTTTCCCGTGTCTTTTGTCCTAACTGAGGTGACAGCACGGCAGCATGGCATGGCTCATGCCTCTGACTTTACAAAGTAAGAAGTAGATTTGTGAGAAACTGAAGTTTCTTTTTCTGTTTAAATCTCTGGCTGATATATTAGAGGAACACAGAGGTGACTAGCCTAGCCAAGCCAAGCGCCCTTTGAGTGAGTAGGTGAGAACTCTCTTCTCAGGATCAGAGTTTGCAAAACACATGGAAAAAACTGGGTAGTGCCTGTCTAAGTAAATCTTTCGGCATATTTGCCTGCACTCCTCATGAACTAGTGGGAGGTCTGCCCACAGTGTAACAAGCTGCACTGATACGGTATTGTGATAAAAGAAGGTGCCTGAAGGTTGTGAATGCTTTGTGGATTCAATTACCTTGCAGTGCGGTAGAAACAGCACAAATAGTTTGATGCTGTGTCTTTGAGTCGCAGAGCGATGCGGGTTTAGTGTCAGGCTGCTTTCCATGCCCTGAGAACTCGTGTTAGGGCTTCAGAATGATGGATGGAGTAGAAGGGATGACTCATGAACAGGGGAGTCTGATACAAAAAATGCAAAGAAAGTTCCAATGTTAGGAGCCTGGTGTGTTTGTGAACATCTTTGCTTGAATGCCTATTGGGGAGGGGAAGAAGTGGTGGAGGGGGGAGCTCTTGTGTAAAGAAAATGACTGGGTGCAGCTGGAGTCTAAAGCAAAACTTGCCCGTTTAGTTCTGCTTAAGGTAAATGTGAGGAGAAATAGATCTCTTGTGCACACAAAGCTCCTTTGGAATGTGTGTGCTTTTGGAAAGGAGATAAGAAGAGACTGAGTCACAGACACATTGTTCTCTGCATCCCATTTTCAACTGCATCCCTATCCACTAACTTCAGAGTATAACAGACAGTGGTATTTCAGCTCATAGAAAGATGGTCTTTTGCCAGAGGCCCATAAAAAGTCACGTTATGAATAAATGCGTGTAAAAATGGCTGTGGAGTAAGTGCAGCTTAAAGCGCACAGATGTGTGATGTTTATATTGAATTTTATTTTCCAAATGTCATTTGTGTGGAACTTGAAACTTAAATAAGGTTTCAGTGTAAAACTACCCAATTCTAACAGTAAATATCTATCCCCTATCACAGAGTCTTCTGATGAAGATTGATGCTTTCCATTATGTCCAGCTGGGGACGGCATATCGGTCTGTCAGTTCTCTGTTGTTTTCTAAATGCCCATATGTGCAAAGGTGGATTACTCAATCTGAGTGTATGTTCATGGCATATGGGGTTTTTTTGGAGCAGAGCACAGTCTCACCTGGCTTATCCTGTTTGCACTTGCTTCAAATGCTTACCTGGCATATAATTGCAGGGAGTTATTTTTCTCAAGCGTTTAAAGCCAAGTGTGGGTGGGAAGACCTGGAGCTTTTTGTAATGGTTAATGACACATCTGGTCACGTACGCTGTGTGATGTCTGAGTTGCAGCTACAGCATATCTGCATTAATGTGTGTGACCAAACAGTGGAACCAGGAAAGGACTCCTCTGTATATGGTCCACATACGGGCCTGTCTTCTCCAGGCAGGAGTGTACCCCAGCAGTGGCCTGCTGTGACTTGTCACAAAGCAAAGAGGAGAGTGGTCTGGACATGCAAATAAAATCTTAAAGCAGTGCAGGCATGTCAATAAAGTAATGATGCATCAGAGTCTGGCTCAGTTTAAGGCCTAGATTGTTGTGTTTTGCCTTCTCTTTTGTTGTTCTCCAAGGAGAGCTGGGTGTGCTTTGGAGTAAGTGGCTGACACAGTGTAGAACAAACTTTTCTCCAAAAAGTTGTGAGACTGGGGACTGGTGGAAAACCTTGCCCCAAAGTGGAGTGGGGTTGGTGTGTAAGAAGTATTAATGCATAGATATCAGTAGCAAAGGCCCTGTAAATCTGTGTTGTATTTCCTGAGCATGGAAGCCAATGTATTTTTTTTTTTCCTTGAACTCTGCTCTTTTGCTGTTAAGCTTCAGTTGCAGTAAACACTCTAAGAATATTAAGAAGGGAGTTTCATAATCAGAGAGAATTGGCTTCATTGAATGCTAGCTTTTGGGACAGTGGGAAGGAGGGGTTGGTACTGCCCCATATTTCGCTTCAGCTTCATAAAGAGATTTTTAGCTAAAATGCATTTAAAACCATCCCTTTACTTCAGGGCACTACTGAGACAACTCTTAACTTCTCAGAGGCTGTACCATGATTGAATAGTAAAGGAGAAAGGGAAAGTTGCTGACTGCTTGAGTAAACAGCCATCGAAAATTGTGCAAGAGGCAAAACCTGCAGCAGTCAGATAACCTGATGCTCATGAACAGTACAGCTCATAGCCATACCTGTGACTGCGGTGTTTTGGGGAGAAGTAGTGATCTCTGTTGAATGGTCTTAGCCAAGAACTTGTTTTGCTTAGGAAAACTTAATAGGAAGGAAACCTCATTTTCAGAAAGCTCTTTACCTTTGCATTTAATGGTGATAAGCCTCATGGAAGCAACCTCTCCAAGCCTACAGTTATCCAGTGCTGCTAAAGTCAGGTTGTGGGGCCAATTTGGTGGGGCAGTCCTGTCAGCAAATTGACAGCATACAGAGAGAAGCCTCTGTCTGAACTCTGCTGGAATGTGGATAAAGCCCCTCAATTAACTTGAAGGAGCAAACAAAGTATCTGAAGAATGTCTCAGGAAAGATTTTATGTGAATCTTAAGAAACTGTGGAGCTGTCAGGCTCTCTGGCTATCTCTTTTCTGCAAGAGAAATTTGTGAGTTTTATAAAGGAGCCTATTTGTCCCATCTTTTCTTTCTCTGCAGCTTGTAGCTCTGTGCAGACTGGTGGTTATTGACAAACTTTTTCTGCTGTTTTCTGCCTAGAGGGCTCAAACCAGTGCCTGATGAAGAGGTAATCGAACTCTATGGTGGTACGCAGCACATCCCCCTGTACCAGATGAGTGACTTCTATGGCAAGGTATGGTAAGCCCTTTACTGCTATGATGCAGCAGCTCTTTTAACAGCTAGGAAAACAGAACGAATAGTGTGAGCATGTAAATGACTCCAGCCTCTCTTGAACTCGGAAAGGCTCAGTCCCTAGTGAGCTGCAGTGTGTGTTTTTGTTCTAGTGGGAATTTGCCCCAGAGGTTATTTAGCAGTTTAGCATGTGAAAGACATCTGCAAAGCATTTCTAAACACCAGGGCTATTGGCCTAGAGCTGAACGGCTCTGGAGACTGATAGGGAGATGTTCCCTGCTTGTTCCTTGGCCAAATCTAGCTCCCAAGCTAGCAGAGCAGTCTGCAATAATGGTGTTTGCAGTGAGTTGTGTGGGAGGGGGTATGTGTGTACAGCAGCGGGGTACTTGCAGTGCCTTTCTCTCTTTGGTTTTGTGTAAGTTTTTTTTCCTTCATGAAAGGGGTTCCCCTCCACACCTCTTCAGACCTACTCAGTGAATATTATTCATAGGGTTGGCATCCATGAGTGTTGGGTTGGGTTTTTTTAGGCAGAAAAGCTTACTGTCACAGTAAAGGACTGAAATTCTGTTCGTAGGAGCTGTAGGAATCCTTTGGTTGCCTGAATTAGATAAAGTTAGGAGAGATTTTTCTTCCTTGAGTGTCTGGTGTGGTGCAGTAGGCAAGCAGGGCCATTCACCTCCCTTTCCCCCCAGAACTGCTTTGTTTCTTGCCCTCTGTTAGTTCAGTTGCCTTGGGAGAAGCTGGAGGAAGAAGGGCAGGCTTCCTCTGGTAACACCCCTTTGGGTCTGCTGTGTGAAGCCTCCAGCAAAGTCACTTTTTGATTTCTCTCCCTTTTGGGAACAACTCAGCTGAGTGATTGCTTTCTGGATAAGTATATACTCAGTTTATAGCTCTGTGTTGTTTCCAGTTTTGAAATAGGATGTTTCTGTTTAGAATTTGATGTATGTCTGTAAACCGCACTGGATTAGCCTCCCACTGTGCAACTCTCCTCATTTCTGGCAAACTTGAGATGATTTCACATTTCTGTTAAAAAATGGTAAACATGAAATCTGCTTCAAGTTGTGGACTTCTGTAGAACCAGGTGCTCATGCCAAGGTGCCTTTCTGTGCTGCTTTGTATATACCAGGTGTTTTCTTCTTTCCTGTAGTTAGTATTGAAAAATTTGGTATAACATTTGGCCACAGAAGCAGGAATAGCAGCTTATTCTTTGCAAAGAGGTGAATCTCCTCTCCTAATAATGTAATGAAATCCATGAACTAATAGGTGGATCCCAAAGAGAATGAAAATATATACAGCTAATGACATTTGCGTCCAGCAGTGTCTGCTTGACTTGTGCCACTAATACAGTAGTGGGAAAGCATCTGGGTTAAGATGACTGCTGGTGTGAGCAGAAGCAGTGCAATTGGTGTGGAACGAGGCTTTAGCAGGGGTCTTTGATCTTGTCCTCCATTGTCTGCTGTGCTGATGTTGCTACCTATATGGATAACAGAAAGGTCTGCCAGGTCAGTGATGCAAGGCATAAGACAAGTGGGACTGATGTAGCTGAAGCATGTAAATATTCTCCCTTAAGGGTTTTCTTGATCCTCTGTTGGCAAGAGTGTGTGGACAACAACCAGCATCCACCATCTGCAGTAGGTAGGCACAGATCTTGCCCAGGGTTAGACAATGCAACTAGTGAGGCTTTTGCTGGCAGGACTAGTGCTGGCCTGTAATGAAGGTGGGGAACTTATGGGTGTTGTGGAGGAAGCATATGTAGCATTCTTTCTAAAACTGTGGTCCAGTTTTCATCCTGACTTGTGTCAATATGTCTGCTATAAGGAAATTGAGGCCACTTAAAGGGAGGGGGGGAGGCTGGACTTGCCTTGTAGGATGGTGGCATAAGGCACAAAAACAAAATGAGAGTTGACTACCTAAAATGTAAGTCTTTGCTGTTAACATTGAGCATTTAACTGTCTCCTCTGTGTTCACGGTCTTGGTGGGACAGGTCACTGCTCTGCTGTGCTCTGCTAAATCCCATACCTAGTGATTTCAGTAGGAACTGCCTGTCTGTGTCCCTCTTGCTTCTTTCCCAGAATCCCTGAACAGGAAAAAAAGGTGGGCGATGTTTTCAGGAAATGTTGGTTTTGCTAGTGGGAGAAATGTTCCCTTGGCAGCCACACATCAAAATGGACAAAAATCTGTTGAAAGGATTCAGTGAGTATCACTAAGCAGCACCACCATGTACGATATGTGGTCCAAACCAGAGGGTGTTCTTTGTGTTTTCTCCTGCTGTAGGTCAAGTTGTCCTGTGCTGGATGGATGGATAGAAATTGTATAACCCTCAGCACACCAACATAGCTTTTGATCGCAGCATTTTTTGGTAACAGACCAGAGGCAAAATGCTGTTTGTTATTCCTTTTGCATCTTCTTTCTTCACCCCAATTCATGTTGTCCCAATATTGCCTTTAGATAGTGTGCAGAGTGCTGATCTCTTGTTCTACCCTTGTAAGACCAGACTAAATGGGAGATGTTACCGTTGTTACATCCTGACAGTGACAGTGGCACATGTTTGTCCTTAGGCAGCATGTGTGCTCTGTCAGCTTCCACCATGTATGCCTTCTGTGATCTTTAAGATGCTGCTTTCATGTCTGTCTTTCACGTAGTTATAATAAATGCCGTTTGATGCGGACCAGTATTATCCTAGAGAGTTGCAACTTTGCAGCTGTCAGTCATGGATTGCTCAAAGCTCACATGCACAGGCATGACGCAACTGGATTGCCAGGACGTCTCTGGTGCCTGGGTTCATTGCGAGGTCTGCGTACGTCACAAATTGCTTTTCATGTACAGGACTTTAGTAACAGTTCCCTTGGCCGATCTGGCACTTCAGCTGCGAAAAATGAAAAAAATTATTGCAGGCACAGCTTGCCAGTGAGACTCACCATAGTCCTCTGTACAGGTGGTACATACTGAATAAACAAGCTTTATTTTATTGGAAGGCCTCTTGGAGCCAAAGTTGGCTGCTGACCTGCTGATAGATTTGTGATTGATAGGCAACAAAAATAGCAAACGTATGGAAGAGCTGCAACCTTGCGTAATGCGAGGTGAGTTATTCCCTTGGGCAGGATTTAATTGTTAGGGTTAGGTTAAAGGTTGGACTCGATGATCTCAAATGTCTTTTCCAACCAAAGTGATTCTATGATTTCCACTTGACTGCTGGGTGGGCTGAAGTTCTTTTCCTTCTTTGTGCCCACTCTGGGTTTTCGGAGCGATTCTTGCATTGCTGTGTGAAACCTCACTGGAATGTGGTTAGAGCAGCTTTGGTGCGCATGTGTCCAGTGTCACAGCCTGGTTTAGATGAGCCATGGGGCACCTCCAGCAAGGACCATAGCTGCTTCTGTAGCAGAGCATTGTCTCTTGGCGCCCATAGTAATGCCAAGAGGCCAGGTGGGAAGCAGAGGGCATGGGTTTGAAATAAATATTAGTGTCTAGGACTGACTCCCTGCTTCTTCCACCTTCACCCCATGGTGTTAATGATGCTGGGTTTGTTTAATGATTTCTGTGAACAAGAAGCCTCTCTCTTGTCAAGTGTTAATGCATTAGGTTAGTGTTTTGGTTGAGAAGAGAGGGTACTCGGTGAGTGGCAGGAACTTTCCACATTAGCGTTTTTCTTTTTTGTTAGCCCGTAATGTCTCCCATGTGGTACTGGGTGATATGAGTTTGTTTGTTGGCTTTGCATGTGGTTTTTGTTGTTTGGTTTTTTTTTTAAGTATTTTTGTTTAACGTGTCTCCTTCATTTTTTGCTTTCCAGGGTCCATCGCTTAAGCAGTTTATGGACATTTTTTCTCTTCCTGAAATGACACTGCTCTCTTCAGTCATTGATTACTTCATAACTCATGGCATTGAGTTTGACCAGGTGCATCTTTACAAAGATATATCTGTAAGTAAAATGCCAACTGCCCCATAGCTCATACCACATCAGAATTGTGAGCTCTTTGGCTTGTTAGCACTGGTGAGCTCTGCAGTACACAAACCTAAGGGGTGGTTAGTGGGTAGCCTAATATGACAGTGTTGTTGCCCCTGTAGATTAAAGCATTACCAAGGAATATTCAAAGCTGTTTTCAGAACATGTTAGGTTTCTGTCTGTACTGCAGAGTTGGTGTTGCTGTACGTTATCTCTTGCAGGAGTGCCTAGGCTGGTTAGATTGAAGGTCCTTCTGTGGGAAATACGCCACAAAGCTTGTGTAAATGTTTTCTGGTTCTGCAGGCTTTTAAGCTTTATGTTTTCGTGTTAATATCTCATTTTTCAAAGAGGCTTGGTCTGACTGTGTAACCGAACAGTTTGCTTTATGCAGTGATTGTTGTGAAACACCTGCCCTTGCCTGCTCTGAGAATCTACCCCTTCCCTTTGTGGCTACAGAGTAGTGTGATCCTGTTGGGATGTTTTCCAGTGGGTGACTGTAGCTTTCAAGAGCCAGCTACTCCAAGGTGCTAACTGTGCCCTCCAGCTTCACTTCTGGCATTTGAAAGGGCTGCTTGGGATTATCAGCAGTGTTAGGGGGTACCTTAGTTAATGCTGTAGGTGAGATGTAAGTGCTCGAGATTGCTGCCCTGGGTGACTTCTGTTGACAGATGATGCATCTTCCTTGGTAGCCAAGCCTTATTGCATGCCTTTTTCCACAGAAAGGGGTTTTTGTTTTGTACCTTATGGGAATCTTATGCTCATCCACTGGTAGCGGCCCATACCTACACTGCTGAGTCTTGTCAGAAGGGAAATGGAGCTCCACATCTGTGCTGCTTCTTTTCTGATAAAGATCCACCCTGTCAGCTTTCTTGCAGCCAAGGATTACAGCTTACGTCTTGACCTTCTGTTGGTGCTTGATAAGAGCTTGCCACCTAGTTTTCTGCAAGACCTTAACATGTTTCTAGGGCGTTAGTTGTAGTTGTTTTTGCTTTTTGGGGGGGGGGAATGGGAAGAGGAGGGTACAGCTGAATCCTGAGGCCTTTTGTCAAGAGTGTCTTCTGAGCCTTCTTTTGAGGTCAAAATGGACTTTCTTCCTAATTGAAATCTTGAGAGCAGGTGGGAGGTTGCCATGGCCTAATACATACTTGGTTCAGGGTAAGCGGTGTGCTCAAGGCCCGAAACTCCTGAGTGCTAGTCCTGGCATTTGTCTTTGCATCCTTTGCTGAAGGATGTGGTTATTCCTGAGTAACTGAGGTAGGCAGAGACAAGAGCTCCAACAGAAAATCTGTGCCAATGCTATACTGAGAAGGTGGGGACTGTCCTGTACTCTCACCAGAGGAGTTCTTGCTTTTTTCTGTACAATGAGGATAAACAAACATTTTTACAAAACTTACCCTTTGCAGTACCCGAGTGCAAGCACAAAGCAATGGTTTGCGGACATGAGCGCCGAGATCCTTCTCTGCCTACACAGGCAGGTGTCTGAGAGGATGTGCATGGCCCCGGCCGTTATTACAACACAGGCTCGCAGTGGGTTAAGACATGTCCAAACCTGACTCTCTTCTGTAATTCTTAGTGGTAATCCTGATGGCAGCGCTGTGTGTTTGGGAGCAGGTTGAATGCTGCAGAGACTGCGCTGAGTCAAAAGGGCAGACCCTGAGGCAATGGTAAAGGTTCAAGCTGACATGTAAACCAAGTAGTCTGATCACACCGGTTGGTCGCTTCGTATTTGAGAGTAAGAACGTACAGTTTACCCTGCTTCCCTTTGGAGGAGTTTTTGAGCCCTGTTTGACACCTCCCCAGGCTACCAGGATTTTATCTGCAGGAATCTTATAGTTCTCCCCACCCCCTGCTGCCCTTTTTTTTGTTTTGTTTTGTTTTTTTCTTTTCCTCCCCTTCTGCTCCTTTTGTTTTTTGGGGTGGCAGGGGTTTAGGGAAGGAGCACACTGGAATCTCTTTCTCTTCTGCAGAGGTAGTTTTGACACCGGTCCAAAGCATTGCTTGCTTTTAGTGCCAGCCCTGGTCAAGAGAAAGTTATTTTCTTGTTAGCGCTCTTGCTTTTTGTTCGGTTTCTTTCCAATAAGGCAGTCTCTTGGGGAAGGAGATGTAACGTCTGCCTTTATATGATTCAAATCCACATGGTGGAAATAGACTCCTAAAACTGTTTTGAAGAGGTGCTGCCTCCTCCTTCATCATCGCTCATCTAAGTTGTAAAATCTGGTTCTCTCCCAGCTTTGAAGGAAATTATTTTTGGGGTGATGAGCAGGTTTCACCAGTGCTGCAGTGAGACCAGGTGACTGTGTGGTGTTGTGTCCAAGTGTCACCATTGCAATGTCAGTGGCGAGTGTGGGAATCCAGTCTGAAAGGGAAACTCCTGAAGGAGCACACATACTGTAACAGTGCTTTAAGGGTCCTGGGGAAACGCAGCATTTGCTTACCTGTCTAAATTGTCAGGGATGAAAACAGTACCATTAAAACAAGCATTTGCAAAACACTGCAAAATGTGTTGCTGCTCTGGAAATGGTTTTGTGTATCTGGCGTATCTCATTGGATGAGAGACTTGGGAACAGTCTCAGTTGGGTGTGTCCAAAAATGTGTTGCATCTTGGCCTCTGGCCTGGAAAACAGAGGCTATTTGGATGCCTTTGACAGTATCTGTTACAACTTGCCTCCCTCCTGAAAAGTGGGCAGCTCTGTTTTGGCAAAAAACCCTCACCCTCCTAGTGGAAGCTTCTGCTCTTGCCTGTGCCCACTGGCCATCCAGACCAGGAGCTGTAGCCCTCTTTGGCTTGTGGGGAGCTTTTTGGAATCACAAGATGTTCACCTCTGCTACTGTTCACCTCAGCCATGCTCCTATCCTTTGGGTCACATTTGGCAGATCTTCCACAGATAGAGGAAGGAAGAAAAACCAGCTAGTGTCTGGGCCAGTATGGTTTTGGGGCAGTAAACAGTTTTGGAGTTGCACAGTCTTGGTTGCAGTGGTAACAGTTTGTTAATGTGCTGGTTTCCAGGAGCAGGAAGGAAGCTCTGCTTTCATGGACAAGTTTTGAGGTTTTTCCCCTTTCACTGCATCAGCTGAGCCAGCCACTGTGGTGTTCTTTCTGGCATGTTGGTGAGCCTCACTGTACGAGGTCCTCTGCTTAGCATTAATGTAGCTTTTGTTCATTCAGCAAGAAGAGGGGATGAGTCATTACTGTATTGGTCCTGAGTGGTGGCAATAGGTTTGCATGCTGGGAAATAGGAATGCCATATATGAAACTGAAACTTTTTTTTGCCTGCCTTTTTCTTTAGGATGCTATTAGAGACGTACATGTGAAAGGAGTGATGTACAAATGGATTGAAAAAGATATGGGTGAGTTAAGTTGAGCTCTGGTGCCAAATCCATTTTGATGTGTCTCGTACTACATGGTGTTCTGTGTAAGATGACTGTGTAGGCCCTACATGCAGTCACAGGAGTCAGGGGGACACAGAACTTAACGAAATACTTACTGTGGCATGCCTAAAGGCAGCTGAGGGGTTGAGTGGCATTAAGAACCAAGTGGTATTCAGGGTCAAGTGGAGGATCTATTTTAATGGAGGAAACAGCTACCTCATCACTCGCGTTTCTGTATTCCTTCAGCCTGTAAGCAAGGAGTGATGGTCCTTGGCATGATGTGAACACGCAAAGGCACCATCTGGGGAGGCTTCCTGGTCATTCAGGGGAAAGAAAGCTCCTGGTAGCATCATGGCTTGGAGTGGCTGTGCCTGTCCCCTGTGATGGTTCGGTATCAACCCTTTTTTGCCAGCCTTTTAAGTTCTTCAGTCTTTCTCTTCCCTCTGGATGGGATTGATGAGAGTGAGGAAGGCCATTTTGTCACCATGGTGGTTTACTACCTGCCTGCCTGAGGTGGATCTAACTCAGGCCTTTTGCATCCCTGTTGGTATAGAGGCTATGTTTGCTTTTGCTTTTAAAGAAACGTGGTCATGACTTATGCCAACATTGATGATGTCTGTTTTTTCCCATATATATAGAACAGTATATTCTGCACGGGGATGAAATCTATGCTGTGCTAAACCGACTGGTGAACCACAAGAAGAAGCTCTTCCTCATTACAAACAGTCCCTTTAGCTTTGTGTGAGTACCATTTGTCACACATCAGTGAGTCACCACGGCACAGCAAGAGCTGTGCCGTGCGGTCTCTCCTGTGAGCATCTGGAAGTTGTATGCGAGGGGGTTTTGTGGCAGTAGTCATGAGAGCGCTCTCTGGGAACTGATTGTGGTGAACCAGTGGTCTCTCTACATCATTGACTCTCACTTTTTGAAGAAGATACAAGGCTGTGGCTGGCCACAGTGTTACAGAGCTGGCACTTGGGATTACCTGTAGCAGCTTTTGCTGCATCACAGAGTTGTCTGGACTTACCATGGTACAGGAGAAAGGGTGGGACAGCTTGAAACAAAGTGCTACATCAATACTCCATGCAATGAGGCAGCCTTGGGGGATTCACAAATCTCCATGCTTTCTTCTCTTTTACTGAAATGAGAGTAAATTTAGGACAGACTGTTGTCCTAACAGAGGCAGTGTTGGGTGAAAAAGAGTATTGGATCTGTTAATCTCTCTGTTCCTTTGCCCTTAGGGACAAAGGAATGAAACACATGGTTGGCAAGAACTGGCGGGACCTATTTGACATGGTCATTGTGCAAGCTGACAAGCCCAACTTCTTCACTGATCGGCGGAAGTACGTGTCCCGGGGCAATACTGCACTGCTGCATGTGGGCCTGAGGTTTTGGGCCCCCTTCCCTGGAGTAAATGGCTCCTTTTCCCTTCCAAAACAGTAGCGGTTTTCTAAGCATAATCTAGGTCCAGTAGGCATCCAGCCTTCTGCTGTCCTCTCGGATACTCTCCGAGGAGATGAAAACTTACCAGTCTGGGAATAAGTGGATTGAATGGGTAGTGCCAAGCAGAAAGTGTGTTTCTAAAATTGGCTGTCTTAAGCCTAGTTAGTTTTGTCATGGTCTGGGCTTAACTTAGATTTTAGGGGTAATAATGTACTTAAATCTTTAGAAAGAAAAGAGGAGTGAAATGATGTGTATGAGAGCTGGCTATTTCTTGACTCTAGGTCTTGACAGTGTGCCAAAATCTTTCCTTTTCCTGTTCCCAACAGCAAATATCTGTGTGGTTTGGATTTTTTTATTATTATTATTATTAAAACCTTATGGCTGCATGGTGCCCAGGACCCACTCAGGTAGTGGGCCAGTGGAGTGACATGGCACATACATCCAAGGTGAGGGGATCCTCCTGATGGTGAGCTGTAGTGAACTGTGGAGTGTTTTTTCTGAGGGAGAAAGCAGGTGTGCATTGGAGACCACTCATGGTTGAGGAGCCCCTTGCCCGGGTAGGCTGTAGACTTCATGGTGGGAGGCTGGGTTCCTTCAGCCCTAAGGCAGCTCAGGGTCATACAATACTTCTGGATGAGATTGTGCTCTGCTTGCAGCAGAAGCAGCTTCATACCAAGGCTTTTGATCCCAGAGCTCACAGTTTGGAACTTCTGTCCCAAGAGGGAGCAATGTTCCCATTGAGCATGAATGTTCATGGGCGTCAAGTAACTTAAGCCTTGTTTTGCTGCTTCTGTCCAAGTGGAAGGTAACCAGGCAAGCCCTCAGGAACAACAGGAGCCAGCTCGGGTCAGCTCCCGAGATCAGTGCCGAGACTGCTTTCCATCCGCTCTGCAGACGGCTTTATCCTATTAAGACATTCCATGATCTCTGTTAGGCTGGGGTGTAGCCAGACTGGAACAGGACACAAAGTGTTTCACAGCAAAGCCTCTTTGGCCTTAGCATTTCAGAGGGAGTATTTATTATTATTTTTTTCCTCTTTCCTGTATCTGAAAAGTGATAAGAGTTGTTAGGGATATTGGCATTAAATGGTTACAATCAATGGAAGCAGTTTGAAAAGAGATTTCCCTCTCACACTTTCTCTTCCCCTGAGAAAATAGTGCAGAAGGCCCAGAAGGTCACTCCTCATGCAGAGCTTTTATTACAGGTTGTTACATAGGTAAACAAGTTTTCCAATTCAAATGTTGTGGTTGCTGGGTAACAATCGCCAAAAATCAAAAGAAGTTGACGTCTCCCCCCTTTTTTTCCAGACCTTTTCGAAAACTGGATGATAAAGGCTCACTGCAGTGGGACAAAATAAACCAGCTGGAGAAAGGAAAGATCTACAAAGAGGTAAAATGATTGGGTACATAAGGGGTGTGAAGCAAGAGTCTGAAATGGTGGGGTTACAAGACACCTGCAGTTTTGGAAGTCACTGGAAAACAGGAAAATCTTCTTAGTCAGGGTGGCCCTGGGTTATTCTACAGGTCACTTGTGGATGTTTGAAACGTCAAAAATGGAAATCCTTGAAAAAAGTGCCTATGGTAGAGTTAGAGGGCACTTGTAAGGAGACATGCTGTAGGCTCCGTGTGCTGCGCTGGCTGGTGGCAGTGAGAGATGCCCTCTCTCCGCATGTGGACAGCTCTTGCTGGCCCGGTAGGACACTGTCCCCCCACATGCTTTCAGCATGTCTCTTGGCATGCTGTGGAGCAATAGCCTTGTGATTTGCGTGCCTCTGGAAAGTCTTTCAGCTTCTGCTGGCAGGTAAGTGTTAGAATAAAGGGTCTTTTTTTGAATATTGGAAAACCCTGCCAAGGGCTGTGTTGCCTGTCAGCGTATGATAAACCGACCTCTGAGAATGCCAGGTGTAGAAAAGGCTGCTCTCCCGGCAATCATGGTGTTCTACAGCTGCAGGAGCCAGAGCTGAAACAAGGTACGCCAGAGCTGTCTGGTAGGAAAACTTTTTGTCTGCAGCTCTAAAACAGTTTCCTACCCAGCCCTCTGTGTGGGTCATGCTGCAGAAAAGTGTGTAATGGGAGTGGCATTAGAGGTGGAGGGACAGGGACAAGGGGGGAAAAGGCAGAGAAGGGCCAGTTAACTTAGGGTATTGGGTGCTGGCCTTTCTGCCCAGGAGGACCCATGCTGAGTTACCTCTGCCAGGCTGAGCTGTTTCCTGTGGCTGCCCTGTTTGTGTGAGAAGGAGTAGTAGGGAAACATCCTCTGCATGTGTAGCAGGGGTCAGTGAATGTCCCCGGCCCCAGCATACAGTGAAACCTTGACTCTAGGAGCTCTGTTCTGATGTTGTTTAGCATGGCCAATAGTGCAGTTTTCCCTTGGCTCTTCCCTGGTCCTGAAACTCTTGTCCTGGCAGGGCTCCCAAGAGCATGCTCGTTTAGGGTAAGACGGCAGAGCTCTCTGCAATCCGATGTGTAGGCAAAGACCTTCCATGCCTCACTCCAAGTCGTCCTCTATAACATTGGAAAAGCTGGCTTTGTAGAGGAGGGAGCAGAGAAACAATGGTGAACAAATAGGGTCCATCTCTCTCCCTTTCCTGAAGGACAAGCATGTCTGAAGCTGTTACTCTGGTGAACTTGCTGCCTTGGGGTGTTCTCCTTGCAGCTGCTCTGTCCCCTGAGAACAAGGTGCCTCTGGCTTTAGGACAGTTTGTTCTTGGTTATATGAGCTGTCCAGTCCCACAGGAAGAAACTGTTAGTGAGGTCATGGTCAAGTAGCTGGGACCTGACCTGCGGTAGAAAAGTAGGTCATGTCCTTGAGTTGGGAAGCCTCTGGCCTGTCCGGTGAGTCTGTCCAAGTGGTCTGCTAGTGTCCCATCCTCTGCCAAAAGCTAGGAGCTGGGAACGTGCAAGTAGAGCTCATTCATACAAAGTCTGTCTCCCATGGGCAGACTTTCCCAGTGGGTTAGCAGCTCCCTCAGGAGAAAAGGTGCACCTCAGCCACAGGATTTATTGCTGAATTAAGTCCTGCTTTTGATCACCTACATCTTGTCACCATAGGTTGCTCACCCAAGTGAATGGTGCATTGAGGAAGGGAAAAGACGAAGGAGGGATAGGTAGGATTTTTGGGCTCCTTCCCGGTATCTCCCTCACCATGATGTTCATCTGACTGCAGCCAGGTTGTTGCCTAACTGTGGTTCTTGGGATGTGACAGAGTGTGTATCCTGGTTGTAGTCCACCCTGTCCCCAGCATTTTTGGCTTCTTTCTGGCAAGCATTAGTGGCCATCGGCCTTGCTGTGCCGGTGATGTTGCTAGAGGCCTCTGAGCTGACTTGTTCCTGTCCCCTGAAGCCCAGCTGTATGGTGGCTGTGGCATCTCGTACGAATGGGACCTCAGGGATCCATGTGTTGCACTCGGGACTGGCCACGTGATGGCCCTCTAGTCCCTCCTTTCTGATGTGGTGTTTTCTGTTTATGGCACATATGTAATCCCATCCCTCCCCTGGTCTGCGATCTCAGGAGGGGAGGAGGACAGCCAGGTCCCGTAACAGGTCTGTGGCTCAGTGGAGGTCCAAGCACAAGTTTCCTGGGTATCAGCTCCACTGCTGTTTGAGGTGACCAGAGCACAGCAAAAGGACCATCCTCCTCCCAAGGCTGTGGTCCATTTCCCTGCTCTGCCAGTGGCTTTCTGAGCAACCCTCAAGCAAGCAGCAGCAATGTTGTGTCCAAGAAATGCAGAGGCCTGTGCCCAGTGTTTCTGTGCTGTTAAGGGAAGTCTGCACAGCTCCAGTGGTGCTGCAGCAACAGAAGGCCCAGCACTCTGGTTCTGGGTACCCTTTGCCATGCATGCAGCATGTTGCCAGTGGCCAAAGGCAGGGCTGCAGGCTGTTGTGGGAGCTGGCTTGTGTTGGTGAGTTTTCGGCCTGGGCTGGTGCTGTTGGGTGGGCATGCTAGCTCTTTCTTGGTGCTGGAGACTGGCTGGAGAGATTGCTGCCGAGTGGCTGGCAGGTTTGCATTGCTTGCTTGTGCTGGCACAGTCTAGCCTGCTGGCGTTGATGGGGCCTTTTCCTTTCCTAGTGGGTTTTATTTCCGTTGTGACTCATGTGGAAAACTTGTGTGGAGATGGAAGGGGGGTCCCTGAAGTCTCCTCTGTGTGGACGGATGTTTGGAGAGCCTTGAAAGCTGCTCTGTGCTGTGCTTTAGCTGGTGCTTTGGGGTTTGGTTTGTTTTACTTAGCTGTGAATCTGCCCAAGCTGCCTGGCTTTTTGGCTTGGTTAAGCAATTCCTGTGAATGCGTGGGTGTTATTAATCTTTTGGGTTGGGATCGTGGTCAGTGATGTGGGAACAGCCTCAAGTGCTCCGAAAGCCTTGCATGATGGTGCTTGCCTTACCTCTGATGCACCCTGTGAGGTAAAATCATTGTCACCTGAGCCTAACAATTTCTAAACCCAGTACACCTGGGGTTCTTTCTGTCCATCGCTCAGGCTTTTCTAATTTAGATGTCTTTCACTTTTGGCCTCTAAACTGCCTCCTTTTGTTGCCTGTTTAGTCTATGTAGTCCTCTTGACTTGCTGTGCCACAGAGCATAGAACTTCCCCTGAATTGCCTGTTGGGTTCGAAAGAGCTTTTGCCTTTTTCTGTAGCCTAAGAAAAGCTGAGGGGGAGGTACAGGGGGGTTGTCACATGGGAAGAAAGTGAAATAAGGTGGGGAAGGACAGAAGCCTCTGGGTTTGGAGGGTGGGGATGCAAGCAGGTTGACATCTCATGAGAGTGCTCACATCTGCATGCGGTAAGGTGGCATGACCAGTTGCATTGACAACGCTGCTGGGGTGGATGCCCAGTACCATGCAGTGAGGATGGAGGCATTTGGCCCGTAACCACGTTTCTCTCTGTGCTCCTTTTACTTGCAGGGTAACCTCTTTGATTTTCTGAGGCTGACGGGCTGGCGTGGGTCCAAAGTGCTCTATTTTGGTGACCATCTGTACAGTGACCTTGCGGTAAGTGGAAAGGTTTCTGCTCTCCCGTGAGGGGGGAGCAAGCCTGCGTGAGTTGTGGTTGCAGCTGTGTTGGAGTGTAAGGCGGGCCCTGACCTGAGCACTCGGGTCTCTGCTATGCTGTGCTGGGTGCTCTGCAAGCTGCGGCTCTCGGGGCACGCACAGGACACATAAGCATCCCCACTCTGCTGTCAGGCAGAAGCAAGCAGTGGAGGAAGGGCTCCTGAAGTGCTCTCTGTGGGTAAGGGACATCTGCGGGTCTGTGAATTTGAGAGCCGTTTGTGTGGATTCCACGTTTCTAGGTGCTTCACACAGCTCATCCTGGTGGCCAGGAGATGGCTGGTACTGGCTTGACCAGGCATGGGCCGTAGGTGCCTGTCCCCTGAGGATCTATAATGGGAACAGATCACTCTTCTAGGAAACAGGGTTGTGTTTGGCTATCAGTCTTTGTGTTGAATTCTTTCACCCTGACCTCTAGGACCTCATGCTGCGTCACGGCTGGAGGACTGGAGCCATCGTTCCTGAACTGGAGACAGAGATTCGGATCATAAATACAGAGCAGTACATGCACTCCCTGACCTGGCAGCAGGCGCTGACGGGGCTGCTAGAGAGAATGCAGGTAAACAGCTCCTGTCTGAGCGGGACAGGTACTATGCTGCTTTCTGAGCCTGCGTTTTGCACTTAGCATGGGAATGGGGGGATGTACTATCTTGCCTGTGTTCCCCAAAATATCTCATCCTTCTCCTGGTGCAGTGGACTTGTGGGTTTGTGAATTACAGTGGAAACTGGGGGGATCTGAGGTGTGGCCTACAGGACTGATGCAACATGGTGCTTTCTGCTGTTGTCTTTGCAGATGTATCAGGATGCGGAGTCGAAGCAAGTGTTGCTGGAGTGGATGAAGGAACGTCAGGAGATCAGGTGAGCATTGTCCCCCTCGCTCATGAGGTGTCTCAGGGGCTCCCAGGCCTGCAGTGGGTCTGTTCTGTAACTTGTTTTGGGGACAGTGGTGCTGCAGGTGTTGGCCTGTGGCCCTCCCTGGTGTCACTTGTTGGGCAGAGGTGGGGGGAAGCAGCAGTGCTGTACTGCAGCCTGGGAGGTGGCCTGGTTTGAAGGCAGGGTGGGAGAGGGGAGACGGTGTCCCCCTGGGCTGTCTGCTACCCCAGCTACTGCAGTGGGTCCCTGCCCATAACAGGTTCGGTAGCAAGGAAGAGTAAGAGGGCATTGAATTTTCATCACAGTCTCACTGCAGAGGGGCTGGTCTGCATCGCAGCCTGGGTGGGAGGGTGCTTAGGTGTTGTGGTTTAACCTGGCAGGCAGCTGAACACCATGCAGCCTCTCACTCCCCCACTCCCCAGTGGGATGGAGGAGACAATCAGGAAAAAAAAAGTAAAAAAAACCCCACAGCACTATGCCAACTACCATGAAGAAAATTAACTCTATCCCAGCCAAAAACAAGACATGAGGGTGATCCCAAAATGTCTTCTGGGAGTAGGGTGGCCCAGGGCTAAGGGATTGGAGGGGGAAGAAGCTGTGACCATGGCCTTTTATCTACAGAGCACCATCTCTTTCCTCTCAGGTCGCTGACGAAGAACCTGTTTAACCCGCAGTTTGGAAGCATCTTCCGCACCTTCCACAACCCCACGTACTTCTCTCGACGGCTGGAGCGGGTCTCTGATATCTAA